GGCATGAGGCCTCGCTTCTTCAGCCAGAAGATAGCCGCAAAGGCCCCCGAGAAGAACACGCCCTCCACAGCCGCGAAGGCAACCACTCTCTCCCCTGCAAGACAGGACACGTCACCTTCAGAACAGCACAGGACCACGGACCTTTGCAACTTTACAGACACAGATGTTTCGGGTACCCTCCTGTGGCTATTTCACCAAGAAATGAACAAGCCAGTGTCATGGCAAAGGGCCTCAGAAAGGAAATTTTCCACCTCGTTTCTGCCACCAGAATGGAAGGGTCTGTCCACTCCAGGTCCCAATGCAGACAGGGGGAGGCGTGGTATCTGCAAACAGGACGGCTCTCCACACTCACCACTCACATGTGACTGGCTTTACATTGCTAAGATCCAGATTCTTGATCCGTTTTGCTTTGTTTTGTTTCAGACAGTCTTGCTATGCAATAGTCCAGGCTGGCCCTAAACTCACAATGTATCCCAGGCTGGCCTCAAACTTGAGGTGACCTCCTGCCTCAGCGTCCCAAGTGGTGGGATAACAGGTGTGCGCTACCAGGCCCAGCTGTTCTAAAATAAACACTTTTAAAAGAAAACACAAACTGCTGGGTTGCCGTAGTCCTCATATCTTTTGGGCTGCTACGGCACTCTTACCATGCAGCGTCCCTGTGACTGGTGGTAATTTCTGGAACACAGTGCACTGACATCTTAATCTCCCAAATTCTAAACAGAGTACACAGAGCTGGGCAGAATCCCCGCACTCAGGAGGCTGAAGGACAAGGATCGGCAGTGAGTGCAAAGCCAACCTGGACACACAGCGAGATCTTGTCTCAAAACACCAATATAATAACCATAATAATAGAATGAAAACAGCTTTCTTACCAATGGCTTCTAATCAGCAGCTAAAATGATTCTAGCAAAGGACCAAATCAAGACCTACAGCATCCTTTTCCAAACTGATCCCATGGAAAACAGCTTCATAACCCCAGAGGCAAATCTGATTAGGTATAACTTAGAACAACAAACCGAAAGTAGACTTTCTGTCCGCTATCCACCGCAGGGCCCAGTCTGCTTTTTTCTTAACATATGGCATTGTTTCAATTGCATTAAATAAAAAGTCCCTGTAAAAAC